TGCTTGTGAGTGTTATTAAAGCTAAAAAGTCAACATTATTAATTGCAAAAGTACATGGGGGGAAGAGTTCAACACAGTCAAGGACAGCTTCAAAGACCCAGAAACAAAAATGAGGGCAAGCCTGAAAAGGGATCCTTCAGAGTCATTTGGTTTATAACCCTCTTTTTTCTTCTTCCTTTATTTTTTCCCCTAATTTGCTTGGAGGCATACTTAGATTTCTTCCCCCTTTTAAGGGGGGGGGAAGAAAGGAAACTATTTAAAGAGCATTGTGGCATACGTTTTACAGAAAATAAATAATTATAATTAAGTATAGTTACTGTATACATGTGCAGCTTAACGATATCTGAGCTACTGGGGAAACAGACAAGTCTTCGAGTAGTCAGAAAAGCTCTAAATAATGGGCTAAAACTTCATGGAACAGGCAAGTAATCATCTCATCAGAACTAAGTACCAGTATTAAGATACCAAGAGCAACAAGTAAACTGGACCAAAACTTTGGTGTTGTTTTTTGTTTGTTATTATTAATATTTGGTTCTCATACAGAAAATTCAATGGGTAAAGGATCATTTCATGTCCACTGGCTCCCAGAAATCTGAACTAGCGCTGCCAAACTAAAGAATTTCCAGCACCTGGATGAGTTATGTGCTAGTTCTTTAAGCAAGTATAAAACCATAGTTCATACTTCTTAAATGGTAATATAAAAAGTCACAGATTATTCATGGAAATAATAAGTCTTGGTTATCAAAGCCCTCCAGATGTCTAGACATGTCATGCAAAAAAAAAAAAAAAGTCATTTTAAGTCTAAAAACTAAAGTTATTTTAGTAAGACATAGCTAAAATAAATCTGAATTATTTTAAACATTTTTTTAGAGAACCACCAGAAAAAAATTTTTTTTCCTTTTCAGTTCCAAGAGCTTAAGTGAAACATTCATGCATTAAATTCAAAGTCTGACTGTCAAATCATTTCACTTTAATAAAAATTTGAATTACCTGCCTTAGGGCATTATTAAATATCAAATAAAAAGCACACATCCATAAGTCTGATTTCCCAATATAGTTTTTATGTAGAACTATGACTAGATTTGTATTACACATTTCAAGATAAAAGGGTCAAAAATGTATTCATAGAAGGATGAAGTCAGAACTGGAGTTGCCTTTGAAAGAATTCCTGCACCATTCTTAGGAATTTGGGGGAAAGTGACCCCTTTTAAGTCATCTCAGTCACCAAGATAAGGATACAAATCCGTCCTCCTTTGAAAAGACCTAGATCATAATTAATTTAAAGCCTTGAAAAATTATACATTATCTTCCTATCATATAAGGAATATGAAGCATCTGAAATACGCATAATCTCATCAACAGCATTTCAGTCTGTGTGCACGTATGGGGGAGATAAAAGAGTGATGGTTATTTAGATATTTAGAGAAAGGCAACTCTGGTCTAGGGCTAGATGTGGATCAAAGTTCATGGTAATAATGTGATTTCATAAAAAGTGTCATTTACAGTTACTGATACTCAGAGAGGACACAAAACCTAGACTGGAGAAATTAATAAATTCACATTCACCAAACCTCACCACACACCTCCTGCCAGCCCACCTGCCCCTCCTACTGGGTCGCTCCTGCGAGCCCCCATCCCCCTTCCCCTCTGCTCCAGTCTCCCACCTTCCCTTCTCCTCTCACCTCTCCTAGCCGCAGCCCCACTCTTCCTTAAATAAGAAAGGCAAGTCACGGAAATGCTAACTCTACAAACCACTGCCTCCGTCTCCCTTCCTATTACAGCCCAGAAAGTGTCCCTTCTTGTAATAAAGGCAATCTCCACATTTGCTTAGGATTTCATTACCTTTCTTTTTTCGTAATCCCTACACCCGGGGTGGGGCTCGAACTCAAGATCCCCAGATCAAGAGGCTCATGCTCTTCCAACTGAGCCAGCCAGGCACCCCAGATTCCATCCCTTCTCAAGTCTTCAGAGACTGCACAGCTAGGATTAGCCCCCCTGAGAAGTGGCATCTTCATCGCCTCCCACCGACTGGCTCATTACCCCCACATACAGACAAGGGCTAGTGGTTTTTTTGTTTAAAAAGTGTCCCTGGATCCCTTCACCCCCTCTATTGCCGCAGCCTTCTGCTCTCCTCCCACCCAGCTCATCAACCACTGCCATCACACCGTATCTGCCCCTCCTCCCTTCCCACTGGACTCCGCTCTGACACACCACCCTCACGGCAAGCTTGGGCATGCTCCCTGACCCCTGATGGGCAGTGGGTAAAAAAGAGGCTCTGCCAGCCAGGCTGCCTGGGTCCAATTTCAGCTCTGCTGCTCAAAGACTGTGTTATCTTGGCCAGTGATCTAACTTCTCTGTGCTTCTGTGAACTTACCTACCAAGTCTCACATTAAATTTTGTGAACACTTAATGAGACGATCCCATGCAGCATTAGAATGTGATACATGTATATCCAAGCTCCATGCCAATGACTCAATGACTCCCCTATTTGGTTCAGACCTCCTTTCTGATCTCCGCTTCTGAAAGTCCAGTTAGCTGCATGAAGGGTCCACTAGTGCGACTGACACCTCTCATTCAATGAGCTCCAACTCAACTCTTTAACTTCCCAAGAGTCTCCTCCAGTTTTCCTGCTGTCATTCGATGACGGCACTTCACCCGCACACAGTTTCTAAAGCCCCCAAATCCCAGAAGTTATCTTTGATATTTCCGTCTCTCTCCACCATCATCCAATTTGTCAACTAGGTACTATCACTTTCAAGGTCTACTAAACATACTTCAACTTCTCCCCATTTCCACGGCTCCTGGTCTAGTACCCGAGTCTCTGCGTCTTTCACCTCGGCTACCCGGCAGACTTCCAAAATACCTCCCTACTCCTACCCCTGGCCCACTATCATCCAATCTGTTCATTCTGCAGCTACTGTGATCTACTGGAAACATACATGAGGTCAGGCCACGCCCCTGAGCAGAAGTCTTTAGAGGTTCTCAATGCATCAACAGCAAAATAAAGATGCCTTAACGAGGCTGACAAGGCCTCCAAGGTAAGAGCCCTGCCCCTTTGAGTCCTACACCCCAGACTCACAGGGCCTTCCTGTGTACCTCAATGCATCAAAGTCTTACCTCCACAGGGAATAGCCCCTTAGGGCCTTTGCAAAAGATACTCCCTCCACCTGAAATCTCCTTCACTGCCTTTTTTTGTCTTCTCATTCATGGATTTATTATAAGTTGTAGTTGTATTTTTTCTGAAGTATTTATTTTAGTATTTATTTTTCTACTCTCAGGCTCCCCACAGGAGATTCTAAGTTTTCTGAGAGCAGACACATCTGTTCTTCTGACCTTTGATACCCAGAACCAATCACACGGTAGTGATTTTTAATCAAATATAATTTGAATTCTTTAATCCCTCCATCATAAGGCTCAGCTTAAAGCACTCTTGCACGTTCTCTCATGTTACCACATATGAATTACAGAAAGTCCCTTCGCAGCCTTACCAAAGCAACTTTGCCTGGCCCTCACCCTCTCCAAAATCAGAAGAGGAAGAACCATACCAGCTAACTCAGAAACGAAGAGTCAGGAAATGACTGGCATGTGGCTGGCTGATATAAGCTACGTGTAGCTCTCAAGAATTGCTAATGGGCCAACGGACATTCAAGACACCAAGTGTTATGTGTCACAATGGATTCAAAGCAAAATGAACATGTTTCAACCCTTTAAAAGCTCGACTGTAACACAGAAAGTAAGAAATACACAAACAGCTAAATGGAAGAAAGAATGTGAATAGAAAGGTACAATTTAAGGGAGAAGCAGAGAATCCGTGCTGAGAGCAGGATTTGGGTTGAGCCTGCAGGGTAGCTAGGATTTCAACAGGCAACAAGAGGGGTGGGAAGGACTGTCTGAGCAAAGCACATTCACAAAGAAAAAAGACAGTTTGGACGGAGTACTGGATATATATGGTTATAGTAATAGAGAAGCAAGAAAAATGGATTGGAGAACACATGGACAAATTGATCACCTCTGAAAATTCCCATGTCAACGGTCTAGCTCAAGACACTGTTTGAGCTTCTTGAAGCCAGAGACTTCTATTCATCTGTGACTCCCACTCTGTACTGTTCCACTTGCACAGAATGTGAGCTTATACTCACCACGGTCCATTATACCAAGTCCAAGCTCTGTCCTGTTTACCTACGTAACTTCCAACCGATGCCTTCCTCTTGTGGGAAGCAGCAGTTGGCCAGCTATGTGCGCTGACCTATGTTATGCATTCTTAGGCAATTCACGAGGTAAAGAAATAATCCAGGATATAGTCATTTATGTATATTTGATCTTTGCCATGTCTGTGAGGTTTTATTTTGTCAGCTCTTTGGGGATAAGGTATGCATATATTCAATCCAATATATTAAAATGCATAGATTATGTTTCAGTCAATAAAAAAACATACCATATTCATATACCTAGTAAGTGCTTCTTGATCTTCCAAATAAAAGCACTTCCACAGGACTAGGATTTTAAAGCACGCCAGATCTGCCCTCGCCTACCCCGATAAAGAAGTCAAACATGCATTAGAGGAGGGTCAGCCCTGAGGCTCACAAACCCCTCCAGAGGATCCCTTTATGTTCCTCAGTCATCAGGAGGGGACTGCTGCCATTTCAAGGGGGCAGCATAGGGAGCCCTAAAAAGGACTTTTACCTCTTTACCTTGAATAAAGAGGGGATGCTTCTCTGCCTTGGGGCTCCTTACCTGATTAAGGCCAGTAGTAAAGCAAAATGGGAATTAAAGGCTGCTCTGGTGGGAAAACACAAGGATCGGAGGTTCTTTTTCAACACTGCATGAAATTTTTAAAGCCACGTGACTTGTAATTAAAAGGGTTTGAGAACGTGTCATCCCTTTCATCAAAGCAAAGTGCACTCACACTGCTACATCATCAGGATCACCGTGAGACTAACTCTGGTGTGACAGGTTTACAGGACTGGCAGCCCCATTTTCCTTACTCAATCTGCACATACCCAGGTGAAGGCCGTCTTGTTCCCATTCTCTCTGGCTACTGAAATGCGGCTCTAATGATTCTGTCACTAAGTGGCTGAGTGGGTCTAAAATTGTCTCCCAAAACCCCATCACAGCCTTCCACGAGCTCTGCCCCCTTCACATGTGTCCTCAGCCTGCGAAATTCTTCGATCTGAAAATAAAAACAGAGCAAAACAGCTTGATTATTTACTAGACATGAACAAGACTGGAGTTCCCTCAGTGACTTAAAATATGCATAAATTGTAGCAGTTTGTAAAAAGAAAATGAAAATTAATCTTCAAGAAGAGTAAGACGGGGGGCGCCTGGGTGGCTCAGTCATTAAGCGTCTTGCCTTCGGTCACGATCCCAGGGTCCTGGGATCGAGCCCCGCGTCAGGCTCCCTGCTCTGCGGGGAGCCTGCTTCTCCCTCTCCCACTCCCCTGCTTGTGTTCCCTCTCTCGCTGTATCTCTCTCTGTCAAATAAATAAAATTAAAAAAAAAAAAAGGAAGAGTAAGACGGACTTAATTCTTCCAAACCTAGTAAGACATGAGACATCACTGCTGCACAAGAAGTGGAGACAGCAGAAGGAGAGGTAGTAAGGTCTCCAGACAACCCCAACAGCCACAGAAACCTGCTGGATTTGCTCATGCCAAAATGCAACACACCTCTCTCTAAAAGTTCTCACGCCTGTCTGTAATATAATAAGAGGCGAACAAATGAGTAAGTGTTCCAAGCATAGCTTTAATTAATGAATTCCAGTATTTCTGTATGTTAGCACTGATCAGGCGTTAGATTTATCAGATGGAGGTGTCCTTCATCACAAGACTCTCTCTGCTGCTCTTCTACCTTTCTGAAGAACACTGGTCTAATGAAAACCTTGGACTTTCCAAAAATGTAAGCCCAACTTCCCCCCCTTGGCAGTATCAATTTTCACGTTCATCTCCCTTTCTCAGGTGGCCTCCCCAGATCCCATGGATTCTCATTACACGTTAAGAAAGTCCCAGAGTCCCAAGGGTCAGTTTCTCCGACTTGACAGGTCTGTGCCCCCTAAGAAACTTCTGAGGAGTAGCTGAACCCTCCGAGAAGCTGAACCCTCCGAGGAGTAGCTGAACAACAAGCAAACGTGATGAACATTCGCCAGACTCATTCCCATCAGTCGATTTATCTACAGGACTCATCGTCTGCCATTCGCTTAAATGCCACATGGTCACACGACACAGTCCTCATTCCTTTCACAAAAGAGGAAAACTGAAAGATTAAGAGAGTTTCCACGTTAGCTGGGTCTGACAAGTCCAAGTCCACCTGCTCTTCTCCCAGCTCCACTGCCACCTCCTCAGAAATTCCCATCAAGCCAGTATAACCCGCATCTTCCATATATCGCAGGATATGGAACTGCTTTAAACAGCATCAATCCCCCAAAAGTCCGCCAGGTCTGTATCACAGGGCTTTATCTACAGAAGTTCTTCCTACAGCACAGACACAGAAGTCTGCCATTCATGAACTAAAATGAAATGCAGGAGATCCACGAATTCAGGGGTTCTAATAAAAATATAGACACCCCTAGAGACTTGAGGGACTCATGAAACCCCTGAATGATATGCAAAATTTTACACGTGCATTTCCTAAGAAGAGGCTCCCGGACCCCAAAAGAATGGACTCTCACAGGATTCTAATATTCCAAAAACTCGCATACATGTTGGGAAACAGAGCTGAGGGAAAAGGAAGTCGCTTGTTATATTAGAAAGCAAGTTAGAAATCTAACCTCTAAGGCCTGATTTTCTCATGTCTCCAAATGATTTCCCTAAATGTTCATTTCCCTACATGGGATAAGACTGACTCACTTGGTACTGTCCTGCTTTTTGCTTTTTTATCATACCTACGTGCTATTCTTCTACAGAAGTGCCAGTGACATAAGCAATTAGCTGTTTAATCTACACAGTGGTTTTTCCCTAGACCTTCTTGGGATCTTAGGTTGGGAATATAATATGAGCATCACCTACTGTCTGCTGCACCTGGAAAACTTCCAGAGCCAAGCCTGCATGAGAATCCCCTGTCCTTATTTGTGGCACGTATTTTTACTGAATTTTCTCTAAGCACGGAGTGGAAAGGAAACTAGTCAGGCTTTTTCAAACAGGAGAATATGAAGGCAGTTGGGCTATGCATCAAAAGCCCAGCTCAGAGGCACCTGGGTGGCTCAGTCAGTTAAGCGACTGCCTTCAGCTCAGGTCATGATCCCAGGAGCCTGGGATCGAGTCCCCCATCAGGCTCCCCACTCAGCAGGGAGCCTGCTTCTCCCTCTTCCACTCCCTCTGCTTGTGCTCTCTCTCAAATAAGTAAATAAAATCTTTCAAAAAAAATAAAATTTTTAAAAGCCCAATTCACACCCTGGCTCGGACACCTAAGACCCAAACGGCCAGACTATGTCTCCTCTTTATGCTTCAGTTTTCACATGGATGTAAGGGATGACAATAACAGCATTTGCAAGGACAGTGTAAGAAGCAAGATTATTCGGGGCGCCTGGGTGGCTCAGTCGTTAGGCATCTGCCTTCAGCTCAGGTCATGATCCCAGGGTCCTGGGATCGAGCTCCGCGTCGGGCTCCCTGCGCAGTGGGAGGCCTGCTTCTCCCTCTCCCTCTCCCCCTGCTTGTGTTCCTGCTCTCGCTGCATCTCTCTCTCTCAAATAAATAAATAAAATCTTAAAAAAAAAAAAAAAAAAAAAAGAAGCAAGATAATTCATGAGAATCACTCAGCATACTTCCACGGCACACAGAAGGGTTCGGTAGATACTGGCACAACTTCTTTTGAAGCCAAACCTTTAGCATCTTGAGATAAATATTTAGCTAAAATTTTCTGTGCAAAAAGTATACTGGAAATAATAAACCAATTGACTGAGAAAACAAAGTCCTGCCCTCCTCGTACCCCCTTCTACATGTAATCACAAGGAATGGCGGCAACCAGAATCCACACGCTATGCACGGGGTCACCAATGAGCAATGCGGACTAGAAAGTGTACTGCCTAAGCACATTTTAAGAAAGACTCCATTTCTGATTGACTTTGAAGCTTATTTTAAAACTAGGTTAATTTTATATTTACATATTCTGAAGAGACGAATAAATCTTTCAAGCCCCAGACCTCAGCCTGAAGCGAATTCTGTGAAAACAGCTTCTTCTAGAACAGACGATCGGAATCCACAGCCAGCCAGTCTCAAATCACTGCATTCTTGGAGAGAACTATTTCACAAGAAATGTTTTTCTCTGATCATAGCAACACTTTGAAGACTTCAAACAACAACAGAGATGGAGGGGAAAACACGTCTTTCTGAAACGCCAATTTTTCTGAAGTAACCACCCCTCAAAACCTTTAGTCACTTCAAATGGTATCAAGCGCGTACTGCAGTATCTCCCACTGAAAAGAGAGAGAGTGAGAAACGAGCAGAATGATACTTCAGGATAAAAGTCTGCAACGAAATTCAAATGTCAGGGCAGTACAGAGACTATCTCACGTATCAGTAGGGATGATTTCGTCAATTTTTAATGCTGCTCTACTTAAACATGGCTATTGGTTTCTAACCAATTTACAAGAGAGAAAGAGAGGACAGAAACCCAAGCTTCAGGGAGACATGCTTGTCTTCTGAAGGCAGCAGAGTTGAGTAGCTATTCTCGGAATCAGGCGTGCACTCTGCTTGGTCCAAAGCATTGACTCCAACCTTCACTGACTCATGAACCAGATTATTCGCTCAAAGTTCAGCTTTAAAAACATTTTCTTTAGGAGTGTGTTTAAAGTGCTAATTTACAGGGCTTAGGGTTTGGCATTAATTATTTTTAAAAGTTCCCAAGTTCCTGTGCATATCCTCTAACAAATGTCTTTTCACTTGCATCTCTGTTACCACGTTAAAATTAAGAGAAAAAGAACACATCAAAGTCAACGTTCTCGTCTTATTTTTTCTTTTATCATCAGGCAACAAAATACATGAATTCAAGTAATATAATTCCTGATGGAAGTCATCAAGAAAGAGTCAAAAGCCAGCTATACTTAAATAGTCCATAAATACATATATATACTGAGATTATGTCACTGATAGGACTCACCACCTTTCATGTACTCAGTCTTACTGTTATTTCATTTTCTTCAACACACTAGCTCACTTTTTTTCTAAAATCATTGTGTTTTTTTTTAAAGACTTCTCATCCATAAACCAACTCATCTGTCACTGACTCCTTAGTCTCATCTTTCTAATTTTTCTGAGGAAGAGCTCAGAGAAGATCCTCTGCCCAGTACAACTGATGCCATCTTGCCCTTCTTCCAATTCCCAGTCCTGGTCTCTGCCATGGGTCTTCCCATCTTCACTTGAGGGCAGCTACCGAGGAGCTACACATAATGCAAACTTAGTCAAGAATTACAATCTAGGGCGCCTGGGTGGCTCAGTCAGTTAAGCGTCTGCCTTCAGCTCAGGTCATGATCTCAGGGTCCTGGGATCGAGTCCTGCATCGGGCTCCCTGCTCAGTGAGGGGCCTGCTTCTCCCTCTCCCTCTGCATGCCACTCCCCCTGCATGTGCTCTCTCTTTCTCTCTGTCAAATAAATAAAATCCTAAAGAAAAAAAAAAAAAAGAATTACTGTCTATAGAGTTCGTGACCACAGAGGAAGCACTCTCTATCATGGAAGACACTGAGGAAATACATCCCAAACTCCCCACAAGTGCCTAAAAACCACACATTTTAAGAAAGGGAAGAAGGAGTGTCCCAGGAGAATCTAGAGTTGCACGGTCTCAGTGTGGCCCCTGAGCATCTGAAATGCGGCTGGTCTGAACTGAGATGTGTTGGCAACACAGGACACACCGTGAAGTCAGACTTAGCATGAAGTAACCATGTAAAAAATCCCACTCATGCTTTTTTTTTTTAAGATTTTTATTTATTTGAGACAGAGAGAATGAGAGACAGAGAGCATGAGAGGGAGGAGGGTCAGAGGGAGAAGCAGACTCCCCGCCGAGCAGGGAGCCCGATGCGGGACTCGATCCCGGGACTCCAGGATCATGACCTGAGCCGAAGGCGGTTGCTTAACCAACTGAGCCACCCAGGCGCCCCCCACTCATGCTTTTTTATATTCATTACATGTTAAAATGGTATTTGGGGTACACTGGGTTAAAATATACTATTTAAATTCATTTCAGCT